ATAAGGTTAGCGTTGCGCACTGAGAAGATTCTTACTTTCGAGGATCAGTACTTCGACATCTTTGCTGGTGGCAGCGATGAGCCAGTTCTTTCGATTCACTTGTCGGATACCTCTGCTCGTGGACCCCAACCGGCTTACCATCCAGAAGACCACCGGGCTGGGACCGAAATGTTGAGCGCGCTCTGTCAGAAAGTTCGTGCTCCTTCTAAGACAGAAAGACCTATCCATTGCTGAGAAAAGGCATCTTCGCCCACTCCAGCTGTTTTTGGAGGTCAACTCCATCCTCTATGGTATCACATTTATTTTCAAGTTTTTTTACAGCCGCTGAAATTCAATGACAGACGATTCTCCAGAGCGGGAACACGCCGACGACTTCGTCGAAATTTACTCAAGTGTCGTTCAAAGCAATCGGAAAGGCCACTTAAACGTCGATGGGGACGTTTCGAGCCCGACAGAAGTGCGAACAGCTCATAGAACTCCTCGGCGTGAGGTGCGGTGGCAACTTGACAAGAGTGCAAACAATAGAAGCCTTGAGTCCATAGTGCGCCGTTTTGAGGACTACCTGGACTGCGTTTCGGCATCATCAGCAGACTCTCCCCTGCGTCGTATTACAGTGTTAGGTCATAAACGGATTTCCCATCGTTGTCCTGGATATCTTCGCGAGGAAATAACCCTCGCAGCAGATGTGTCAAGAAGTGTTGTTGTTGCTCACCAATACCCCAGTCAAAGCGAGATTTGCACAATATGTGGCCAGCTTGTCCAACATCCTAGCAATGCGGTGCCTCCGAGTTCTACTACTAATCGTTGGCGACAGCCTCCGCAAACAATAAATATACCGACACCGGCCATCAGGAGTTATACGCCTAAATCGTCTTCCTCTTATTATGACAGTGAGTTTGGATCAAATCATTTGTAACTCATACTTTCTATCTCATGCTTGTTGCAGACGATTCTCCCTTGACGGCAGGTGAGTTTGATCATTTGCGAAGCTGGTATTCGTATGTACCTCATCATCTCTGTCTCTTTCTTGTTCCAGTCACCCCTTTAGGAGCGTACAGCCCACCGTATGGGGAGCTAAATTTGCGTGTTCTTGGGATGGAAAGTCCTGGGTTGTTCGGTCGTCGCTCACCCCCTGACTCGTACTGTGAGAAAACACTTTGTAGCTCATACTTTTATCACATTCTTGTTCAATTGTTGCAGACAATCCATCCATTTATCTCGCGCCATCCTTTGAGGAGCCGGCTGCCTTCCATGGTATTGAAAGCTCCGGGCTGTTCCGTCCTCGCTGGGAATCTGACGCAGACTGGGGCAATGCGATACCAGAGAACCAAATACTCAACATCCAGATGTTGGGCAGCGCTTGGCAACGTGAGTCTGATTATTTGCGAAGCTGGCATTCTTGTATAGTTGATCATTCCTGTCTTTTTCTTGTTGCAGCTGATCCTGCCTTAACATTTGAGGAGGAGCTTCGCTCACCCTTTGAATCGTACTGTGAGTTTTGATTATTTGCGAAATGATTTGTAGCTCATACTTTCTATCTTAATCTTGTTCCGGACTATTCTCGCTTGGAGACAAGTGAGTTTTGATCATTTGCGAAGCTAGTATTCGTATGCACCTGATCATTTCCGTCTCTCTCTTATTGCACTCACTCCTTTCGGAGTGTACAGTCCACCGTCTGCGGAGCCAAATTTGCGTGTTTTAGGTATGGAAAATCAGGTTAAAAACGAGGCTCACCTCCCTTGGAATTTTCTCCCGAGCCATGCACCAACTTTCAGCTCCTTCCGAAGCTCCTTCGAAGATGAAAGAAAGGATCCTATGTATGACACTGTAGCCGCTGCTTCATCCTCCTCTGCTGTTCCGTGTTGGTTTGGTGATCCCACAGTGCCGTCATCGGTCCCCCAGAAGTCGGTTTCATCGGTAAAGATCCGGAAAGCCAATGAGATGCGACGCAGGAGACCAGGAAGGTTTACATGTTCCCTCTGTGGAGACACTTTCTGGTCGAAGCATAACATTATCAGTATGTATTCACCTGCGTCTATGCATTTCCTCCTTAAGTCGCTAATGATTCCACGTTTCGAAAGATCATCATGATATACATCTTCCTTCCACCCAATACCCATGTTGGCTGTGTCCCAGCGTCTTTGGCGTCAAGTCGTCCCTGTCGCGACATCGCAAGCTCTGCAATATTTCCGGAGTAGGACTCTATTAACATTACAGTTTTTCCCTCTTGCTTCTCAAGCTAGCTTGCCTTTCTCGTTGTGCAAACTTTCCTCGTTGTTACAATGACTCGCGTACCGTTATGACTTCGAATCATAGTATTCTAATGACATGGGTTGCGGGCGTTGGACAAAATGACCCAACCTCCAACCGATGCTTACGTCCCCCGTCAGTCGTGATTGTTTTCTATTCCCCTGATATGTACTGCTACCCCAATGGCTAGCCACAACCCATTAGCTCACATCGCAGCCACGTCGTATTTGCTTCGATGTAATCAACAGGTGCTTTACAGCCCAACCGCCAAGGCCGACCATCCAACGCCGTTGTCGTCTAAATTCTAATACACACGTTTGAACGGAGGCACAGGCTTGCACTCGACCTCATCGAGCGTCGTGTCAATAACCTTGCGGTACTTCAGCTCGACATCGGGGGAGTTGACATCGTGTTGGAATGAAAGGGTATGATTCATCCAGTTCTCGTCGTCAGGCTGTTTTGTTTGAGAGACATGAGTTCGTCACAATCTACAAGGAAATGAAGGGAGAAAGAACGCACGTCCGGGAAATCTTCACGAGCATGAACACCACGAGACTCTTTACGGGCAGCAGCAGAGGTGATTGTCTGGATGGCGCACTGGAGGATATTGCGCAGTTCAAGCGTCTCCACGAGATCCCTACATCACATCCTACCCAATCAAACTCGGCAAAAATGATTCAACGGGACGAAGCTCACGAGTTTTGAATCATGCTCCTGTCCTTGATACCGACGTTATCAAAGTTCTTATAGATGGAGCGAACCTTCTCGACACCTTCGTCGAGAGTTTTTTGGGTCCTGAAGACAGCAGCATCGGTCTGCATGGCCTTTTGCATGTCAAGACGAATCTTGGCAGTTGGCTCTGAGCTGTCAGAACGGCTAATGAAACCGTTCGTTAGCTACATTTGAAGAAGCTCACAGCGGAAGCATACCTAATCTTGTCCAGGAACTCAATGCTCTCAATGCCAGCCTCCTCAGGGATCGCCTTGTGCGGCTTGCCAGGTGTCAGTGTGTCTCGGATATGGTGGGCGACAGCACGGCCGAACACGACGATATCGAGCAGCAAGTTTGCACCAAGACGGTTGGCACCGTGCACGGACACACAAGCGGCTGCTCCGGCGGCGTATAAACCAGGGATGATCTAGTCATTGCCATCCTTGTCAACGGTGAGGACCTCGCCGGTGTATTTGGTAGGGATACCACCCACTGAAAGAAAAGAATCATCAGAAACGATTCCATTTATCGAGAGAAGGATCCATACTATTGTAGTGCACGGTGGGCAGAACCGGGATAGGCTCCTTGGTGACGTCGACACCAGAGAAGATGGCAGCAGTTTCAGATACCGGGCAGTCGTTCATGGAGGCCTTCAGCAGGCAGGTGGCTCAGTTGTAGGTAGATGTGATCCTTTTCCGGACCAACACCACGACCTTCGCGAATTTCAATTGTCATGGAAGGGGGAACGACATCACGTGAAGCAAGATCTTTCGCGGTAGGCGCCTATCGTTCCATGAACCGTTTACCCTCAGATTTCAGGAGATACCCTCCTTCACCTCGAGAACCTAAAACCAGAATGTCAGCCAAACACAGTTGTCGATGGCTTGTAAGTATGTTTACCTTCTGAGGCCCGGCACCATAAATACCCGTAGGATGGAACTGAACGAATTTCAGATCCTGAAGGGGAAGTCCGGCACGCACGACCATGGCATTTCCATCTCCAGAGCAAGGGTGGGTGCTCGTGCAGCTGAAGTACGTTCGCCCGTAACCGCCCGTCGCCAGGACGGTCTTGTGTGAGCGGAAACGACGGAGGTGCCGTCTTTGGTGTTCAGAGCAATGACACCCACGCACTCGCCGTCTTGCATGATCAAGTCGAGGGCAAAGTGCTTGATGAAGAAGTTGGTGTTGTGACGCAGAGATTGGCTGTAGAGCGTGTGTAGGAGGGCATGGCCAGTACGGTCAGCGGCAGCTGCGCAACGGTAGGCCTGGCCTCCCTTTCCAAATTTCAAAGATTGTCCACCAAAGGCGCGTTGGTAAATTTTGCCCTCTGGTGTGCGCGAGAAAGGCACTCCATAGTGTTCAGCCTGCACGGGCGAAATTCAGTCGATTGAGGGTCTGGGAAAATGATGGCTGAGAGCGAACCTTTGTGACACTCGGAGCTTCTCTACACATGTAGTGGGTTGCGACTCCGTCACCAAGCCAGTCGGGTCCCTCGATCTGTAGCAGGGAGAAACGTCAGACGACGGAGCTTGGCAGGTGATATGTGGTGTGGCACCGACAGTATCATACATATGCCAGTGCCAATTATCTTCGGTCGCTCTACATAACGCAAATCAGATGAAAGACTTGCAGAAATAAATAGAACATGCCCCAAGAGCAACATTTATACCACCCTACATAAATTTAACCATACAGCGGGGCCAAGAAAGGTTGTTCAACGCACCTGAGCAGCGACAGTGTGACTTCTGACGGGGAACAGCTTGATGATACAAGCAGTTCAAAACCAGCCTCAGTGAAACGAAAGGCTGCGCATAACCCCGCGCCACCAGCGCCTCTGAAAATCATTGATTCATAAATGGTAAGACTGGGGAAGTAGATTCAAGACAAACACGACAACCGCATCGAACTCGTGTTTAATTACCGGGTACTTTCTCGATGACCTCGACTGTGTCAATGGTAGAAAGGTGAAAAGAAGTGTGTCCTCGGCTGAAGCGTGTTTCCCACCCCGACTTCCTCAGCTTTGGCGGCGTTAGTGGCGACAATGAAAGGACAAAAGGGTGGGTCCAGTGTTTCCAGCATAGAAAGGGCGAACTGGTGATTACATCGACACTGCTGCACTTGAAGCTTGAAGCTTTGAGGCTTGGTGGGTGAGGCGGGACATGCGCCCGCCCTAGTAGTTGTCAGAACGAAGACCGCCTCGGTGTGTGTGGATATTGGAGACAGCCAAGTTGCAGCCCAATTGCAGCCAAGAGACAGCAAAAGTTGCAATAAGTACAATTATTTCACTCGATTTAAGCCACTGAATGTTAAATTCGATAAATTGCGCCTGTCACCGGATTCTGTTTTCCGTGAGAAATCATTTTCTTCCAAAGCCCTTCTACCCTGACTTCCATCCCATTCCTCTCGCCTCCATCTCTCGACCCCCTCTTGCTGCGGCCAACCCCCTCCAGGCAACGCGCTCAACGCTATGCCACGTGAAGCCCAGCTCCCATCGCGTTCTCGCCTTCAAGAGGCCATCGCGTTTGTGCGGTCGAGCATGATTTGCGCGTAGCGCGTTGGAATGGGAAACGATGCACCGCAACATACATCCGGCAGTGGGGATTA